AGTAGCGTCGATTATCTCCCTACTTCCAGTTTTGTACAGTCGTTCCGCTTCTTCTATAGACGTCGCAGTAGCTTACAGTCGCTAGCGATTGCGGCTTCACTCTTACACGCCGCTCGCAGCGACTTCGAACAGCCCCACCTTCCATACGTATCTTAGCGTGGGAAATCAGCTACAGAACAAACGATATGATTGGTCAACCCTCAATTTTATGATGATTGGACTTTTGGAATGCTGCTTGCGGAAGTGAAGCCGCAATCGCTAATGCCTGTATTGTCTTTCACCGTGTAGTTCAGTGCCAATGGTGAGACTAGCGCTTGAGACACTCGTGCTGGTCCACGTCAGCGAGCGATCTGCCAATGGTGTTCCAAGTCACTCGGGATAGCTACGCGCGTGATTTAGCATGATTGACGAGCTCTTATGTAACTTACGAGCTAATTGTCCACAAGTAATTTGAAACCCGGAGACGGCTGCATATGTATGTAATTACATCAAATCTCGTCTTCTTGGCGACAACGGAAGCTTCTCGATTCAGAAAAGTGATATGGGTCGTGTTCGGCATGTACTTCTCACTTGACGAAATACTTCAACCAAACTCACTCTGAGGCTGGATCATAGCTGTTCAAGCGACTAGTGCGCGATATAGAGTGCACTTCTTCCAAAGCTACTATAAATAATGATGCAGAATCTCATGCTTTGTGGGAGTCTCCGCTACACATTTTTCTGAGAATCAATGGCCAAGTTAGTGCGACGGACAACCGAGTTCGGATGTTAAGGCTGCAAGACGATCGGCATGAATGGAGGAATGGTTGCTTTACTCTCTGTTCGTCTTGGTGGCCCATTAAACCATAGAATCATTTGATACCCCACACTTGTATACATATGCATCATCACAACATTTGCAACTACCCCAGTGCTCTCTGTTACCATGTTTTGATGGTGGATACCTGCCGACGTGCCTGGATACTCGTTTGAATAACCTCTTGCTGCGCGCCAGCACTAGTCTTTTCATTACCTCCATGGCTCTTTCAGTGCCGTGACTGTACAGTATCATTGCATTAATAAATTCTTTCATTGTTATTGATGAATGCTAAGGTCCAAGAACCTACTTGTAAGAGTGCGGCAGCTCGACAGTGCCGCGACACCAGCACAACAGTGAGTTCCTGCATTAAAAGACCTCAGGGAACCTCGCGATAGACTATCTAACACCCCATCAAGGGCGCAGCGTACCCACAACGCAGTGAAAGCGAACTGCTATCATTTCATGGGAATAGATTGTTTGCCCATATAAAAACAGATAGCTGACAGCCCAAGAAGGGCGTGAATCAATCTTACACTTTCTTTATTCATTGGCCACCGCTACTAGTCTTCTTTGTATCCCTCGTCTCGAATAGTGGCCGGCCTTTCCATCGCCTCTGTCGTTTCATACTTAATCTGGCTCTTCAACACTCATCTGTGAGTGTGCCTCTGCAGGGACATTTAACCCTGTCCACTCTAATCGCGTCATAATGAGATATAATATTCATCTCCATGTAGTGGAGATCCTTGTGGGCCAAAATGAGCCTACGATGTTTAGGATCTCGTGAGAATACTCGCTGACCCTGAGCTTTTATTGTCTAGTCCCTGCCCACTGGGTTTTCCGCCACACGGGGAGGGAGGCTAGTGGGCGGGAAAGCAAATCGAGCGATGACGCGGCCATCAGCTCCGGTTCCCGCGAAGCCGAGAGCCCAATAGTTCAGAACTAGCGAGTAGGAGCACGAAGTCAGCAGGCACTACTGCGAGGTGTCGTGCTTCATTAGCTCATTCCGGCTGACCAGAATTTCTGTCACATACGCAGGGACGTGGGTTGCACCGCTATGTGCTTCCCGATTTTGGCTCGCAGCTCCGAATAATTATCAGGAAGATATGATCAATCACAATCGAACATGATCAGCGATACAACACAGGTCCAAGGACTAAATATTCTCAAAACACTATCCAAAGAACATCATTGCGAAAAGATAATGAAGACCTGAACAGCTCAGACACTGAATCTTAGTGAAAAGAGTAGAACATTTAGATCAGCGACCGTCAGTAGAGCGGCTTCAGTATGTAAAACTGTCTGACACAACTGTGGGCACACGCCAATGGTGTGACGGAAACATCAGCCAATTTAATCCAGTCTTATGCCTGGCGGGCAATGCCAGAACTAATTTATTAGTTAATCAACAGTAAATTTGTCATGTATGCTTTCTAGTTGAAAATGCCGCATTTAGGTATGACATATATTGCCAAGCAAAAACCTCTGTAGTTTATTGCATTATACCACTCATACTTTTGCAGGGAATATTTCCGCGTACTTTGGCAGAGATTTGAAATCAAAACTTGGAGGCTCGCTGAACAAAGCACTTTGTTCTGATGCCTCCAGTGCCTGGGGTAACGGATCATCGCTCGGCTGGCGTCCACACTTTGGCTGTTTACTGTTTGGCTTACTATTTTTGTAAGAGGAAGGGCCAAATTGCTGCCAGTTCTCAGGAAAGTGACGCTATAGCATAGATAAGCGGTGCTGGTTGATTTTTGATAACACATGGGCAACTTACTAGTCTTTTCACCACCGTCTCTAGCTCTCCCAAGATATCACCGCCCGTCGAATCGTAAGTGCGGACTTTGTCAACGTCGGTGTACAATACACAAGTGAACACTTTGCAGCTGGGACGTATACCTAGCTCATGCGACTTGCTAAAAAGGCCTTTGGTTCTTTTCCTACGAGAGGTCTGATCATCCTTCGTGATTTCGGTGATTTTCCTTTTCAATGCCATTTGTCACTCAATTGCCAGTCAGGAGGAAATTGAGAGCTTAAAACGAGCCTTTGGTAGCACATGTAAGAAACCAACGAATGTGCTTGATTAAGAGCTTAGAATATCAGACTGTTTTTAGATATATATTTCAATATATAGATGTGGCGGAGCGGAGCGAGTGTTGCTGCAGGGGGCAGATCTATGTATGGCACTTCTGAGCCCATTCCGGCCGGATTGGATCGGCAAATCGCACTCTGATATATTGCAACGAAGGGTGTTCTGATTGCTCTTGGTATCAGCCATGAATATCGTACAGTGGTATGGGATTGCGCTAGCAGCTCTTGCTGCCATTGTGGTGGTCGCTTCACATCTACGTCCTCTTCTGCCATTTTGGCTGCTGCGACATGTTTTGTATCCCCGTTTACATCCACTGATTAGTGGTACAGGCGATTATACACGATTCGGAGCCATTGTTCTGGGAGTTTTTGTCACTGGGAACGTCCTCTGTGGCGGCATAGGCATTGAGACGTCTTCAGACTTGGTGAAGCGAACAGGTCAACTCTTCATAATGAACTCTATCCCTCTATTTCTTGGTGGTAAGATTGGGCCTCTTGTTAACATTTTGCACATCCAATACGAAGACTTTGCGAGAGCACACCGCTGGCTCGGGCGAGTCGCAGCTGTACATGCAGTCGTGCATGTTACTGTTGCTGCTTCTGCGAAACACGAATTCCGCAGCCTGACACAGCTTGCAGGTCTTATAGTAGGTCGTCCTCTAGTCACTGAAGTCACCTCAGCTCACCAGACTAACCAGGCTGCGTCATCGCTGTGCACCATTCTTTTGCTCTCAGTAGGAGTGGTGTGGAGGCTCAAGTATGAGCTTTTTGCAAAGCTGCATGTCGCGCTTGCTGTGCTCACAGTCATCACTACCTGGCTGCATATTGCGTCTGGCTCGATCTTCTACCCACCTGAAGTATACATGCTTGCTGCATGCTGCACGTACGGTATTGTCTTTACCATGTGGTTCATGCACATTACGTATCGCAATTAGAGCATCCGTACCCCATTTACACACGCTAAGATGTTCAAGACGCCAGCTTCTTCAACTCAAGTAGTATTGTTGGAGCTCAAGCTGCCTCGCCCGTGCAACTTTCGGTCCGGTCAGTTCGTCTACGTCCGCTTTCTGAGGCTAAGAAATCTAGCTTTCCTCCAGAGCCACCCATTTTATGTGTACAGTTGGGATGAGGACCGACTTTTTTTGCTAGTCGAGACGAAAATCGGCTTTACTGCGAGTCTGTTTACTGAAAACACCCCATTGCTGCAAGAGCGCGGGACTGGTAAGGATAAAGAAGCAGCCGTGAGAGCGATAGTGGAGGGTCCGTTTGGCAAATCGATGGATCTTCAGTCGTACTCCACCATCGCTCTGTTTGCCACAGGCATAGGGATTGTCACACATCTTTCATACTTACGGAAGTGGCTCAAGGACCTTCAAGGCTCTTTCAAAGTCATTACTCAAAGCATCACTCTGTTTTGGGAGGTTGAGGCCGAAGGTCAGCACTCCATGGCCGCTGCCAGCCTTACGAGCTAATGGTATACAGCACATATATACTGGGTGAGAGATGACATGGATGGGCTCTTGGAAATGGATGTAAAGCACGTGAGTTTCGTATTTCACATAGAAGGGGACAACACTAATGCTCAGCAGATGCTCAGGATCCATGTTTTTGTAAAAGGCGAATACATCTCGCCGAACCGAAGAAGAGGTGACACTGTGACCTCAGATAAGGTCAATCTAGCAATGCCAAATCGCATTTTCATCCACTTTGATTCTATCAACGCAAAAAATGAAATCAATAATCTACTCCAAAAGTCCGATCGTAGAACCGCAAACTCCGATGGGAGGACTGCCATTGCTGGTAAGTGTAGAAACATGCTCTATTTCTCAAGAAGCTCACCATGTGCAAAGTTTGCTCGGACAGTCTCACTACCGCTATCATTCGACGTGAGGTTTGTCGTACAGTAAGGAAGGACATAATACTGAAAGTCCTCGACATTGTTCCAGTACGAGGCCAAACATACGGGACACCTTTTCATGATTTGTTTACGTCTGGCTGGAAAAGGATAAAATCCAAATGGTCACAATCGTCACCAAAAGGAGAAAACGTTTAGATACAGTATGAGAACTGTGCATGGTGGCAGTTCTACTGTGCAGAGTGGTGAACATGAACTATTCACGAGTCAAGATAGAAATAGTGCATTAGTTTTATGCCGCATATTAACACCATAGTTGGAGATAATAGAGACACTCAGAGGATAGTTGGGTAGACTAATACATAGTTTGATCAGAAATCCGAAGGCCTATATAGAACATTGAGATTAAAAGTAGGATATTTTGGATGTATCCGTGAAGAAGAGTTCATCACCTGTATCAACCTATCAAAACCTGACTTACGATACCACACGACATCATTCATCGAGATAAATCAGTAGAATCAAGTCTTGAGGTGCTTCTCGAACCATCTAATCGCGTCGATCATGCGCTTCCTATTCTTCACACATGTGCTTTCCTTTGTGAAGCCTAAGAGTGCGGTTGAGCCTGCGCAGGGATCCCAACCATGTTTTATATGCAGGAAACCGGCAACACAACTCCATGCAGAGCATAATTGCAACGTCTCATGCGTTGAAACTGGTGGGAGCTTTTGAGTAAGCAGTTGGGGGGAAGCAACACGTAGTGTATTCGAACAAGAAACTATAACAAACCGTAACTCCTATATTTACATTTTAGCATGGGAACCCGGTCCTGCTAAAGACCTCTTACTTTTGATCTGTGTCTATAAATAGATGTAATCCGGTCTCAATGACAGGGCATCGTTTCTGGCTTGTAAGAACAAACGGGCAGCAAGTAGTCCAAAACGGGATGGAAAATCCTACTATAAAGAGAAGTTGTACATGGAAGGTTTCACTTCGAAAAAACTTGTTTTGCTACAGTAATGGTTTCCTGTAACCACAGTCAGTGGCTCGGGATTTCGACAGAGGAAAACTCGTGCGCCCTTCTGGAGTCTGACAGAGCGCAAACCCTCCTCGCCAACAGTCCAACCGCCGGAGTCCAGTGCCCGAGCTTGTTTGTACTCATTGGGAGCACGTCCAAGGCTCGAGCGATCCAGGAGCTTGTTTCTGCCAAGGCCTCCACGACTAGACGCGCTCACGGCGAGGTACACTTGCAACTTGACCATTCATCTGCGTTCAGCGAACGGCCCATATACATAGCAGATAGTGACATCCCTGAGAGACACCAGCGGGGCAGGATAATTCCTGCAGATTCGTGTCACGAGACAATCGCCCACTCATTTTACCAAGCTGGGAAACGGCCGCTCGATGCGAGTAGGATTGCTGAAACAATCTACGCCCAGCTTCTTCATCCGTTCGCAGACGTATTCTGCCTTTTTGCAGCGGACCTAGGGGGTCTCCGCAGGATCTCCCGCCAGGTGGCCGCGTGGCTTGAGAAGCCGCAAGCGTCACTATTACCGACTGAAACATATCCGTCCCTTGTGATCGTCACAGAAAATAGCACACGGGCTCGTGAGGAGGTAATCAGAGGCTGGTTTCTAGATATTCTAGGTGCAGACACTTCTAAGAGCTTGTCTGATCGCTTCTCTAGTCTTGAAGTAGTCGTACTGTCGCAGGTAGGGTCCATGTCTAACGGCGCGCGCCATCATCGTTTGAGAGATTGCCTAAGGCGGGTCTCAGACCGCGTACGCAAGCACAGAACTAATACCCGTACTCTTTTCTCTGTTAGACATTTCCACGCATTTTTTAGACTAGCTTGTCAACACCTAGCAAGGGGTGACAGTGAACCTTTTGACTTTATGACTGCAGCGAGGCTGCGCAATCCCGTTTCTCCAGACCTCAAGCAACACCTTTCCAGCTTTATGCAGCTCGTACGGTCACCACGCGAGCTAATCGACTTTGTAGCACCAACAATCGCATCGAGTCTCTTCTTAGACAGCTATCCCCCAGATGCTCCAAGTAAGTCGCTCATGACAACTGCCTATGGCATTACCATAACCTAGTATACAGTGTTCGATCCTAGATCTGTATTCGAAAGGTTGTACAAGGGTGTCTGCGATGAGGCAGCCCAAGCTATATTGACGCCTGAAGATGGTAGTAACTTTGTAATACCCAGTACTATCGTCAAAGCGGTTCAACACCACTTCCAAGACCACTTTTTGAACGCACTGCAGTCGAAGAGCTCTGAATTCGCTGCGGAGTCACACAAGCGCTTTCTGCAAGGAACACGAGACATTTGGCTCAAGCTTCAAAGCCGAGAGACATGCCTTGTATGCCTTTGCCGCAGGCCGCACATTGGGCTTCCTTGCGGGCACACAGTATGCGAAAACTGTGTTTGCATATTTGGCCAGCCGTCATTGGATGATCCGTGTGTTTACTATATCAACAAGTGTTTTCTCTGCAAACTGGACGCGAAGCAAAAGACCGTTCGCATCCATCCGCCTACAGCTGGCGCAGGCGTTCTCAGCATGGATGGCGGCGGCGTACGGGGTATACTTGAGCTTATTTTTCTTCGGTTGTTGGAAGATCGGATCGGCCTTCCAATTCCTGTCTTGCGATACTTCAATGTCGTGTTTGGAACGAGCACAGGTTGGCCTGGCCATTTCGCTGTGACGAATTTCGCTAACAAATATGTATAGGAGGTATCGTCGCACTGGGACTCGCCCAGGGTTGGTCCATTCAAAAGTGCATTGAGATTTTTCCACGGCTGGCTGACGCAGCCTTCCAGCGGAGGAAGTTTTTAGGCATGCTCCATCTGCCTAAGGCCTTGGAATCTTTGATGTCCATATTTACGGACTGCCTCTACCCGACCAGTCAGATTGAGGCGGCACTTAAGGAAGCCTACGGTTGTGAACAAGGTATTTTGGAAATGTCTCAGACAACATCCTTTGGGACCAGAGTTGGAATTCCAGTAGCAACTGTCCACGGACCTTCGTTGTGTCTGTTCACTAGCTACAACGGCACAGGAATGCGCAAGGAAAACCTAGGTAGCTTTTACAATCATTCCAAGCTTGTAGAAGTTGCTTACAATCTCGCAGAGTATCATATTATCGAGTCGCATGACGGCGTAGAGCAGCCGCGAGTGTGGGAAGTGTGAGTCGCCACACACAAACCTTTGATTCTGCTAATATTATCTTCCAGCGCACGTGCAGCATCAGCAGCTCCATTGTAAGTCTGAATAGATTAGGCCTGCCAATTACGCTGACTGGATGGCAGATTCTTCAAGCCCACTACCATCAAAGGATATGGCGACCAACAGGACGCTGGATTACTCCGCAACAACCCGATCTTTATGGCTCTTTCTGAAGCCGAGACTTTATTCCCATTCACTGAAGAACCCGACTTTGTAGTAAGCCTTGGTACCGGAGGTCCGCGTCCTGATACCGACGACCTTTGCACTTCAGGCTCGCGTAGTCTTCTCAAAGACGGCTGGATCTCACGCGTCGCCCGCGGATCGCTGGCAACCATGGCTGGGGGCCGAGACTGGAAAGCACTTGTAAGTTTCGGTAGGCCAAAGTCTAGTGGCAAGTACCACCGACTGGATATTAAGTTTGACGGGCCTGAGCCGAGACTGGATGCCGTGAGTGACATGATCAGCCTCCAGTCCTCGGCTCTTCATGATACTTTGCTATCCCCAGTGCTCGATAACATTGCAGAGTGCGTTGTAGCTTCTCTATTCTACTTAAAGCCACACACACGCCTAAGATATAGAGGTAGACAATATATCGGCTCTGGCTGGATCAAATGCAAGCTTCGGCATGGTGAGCCTGCGCTCGAAGTCCTCCTCAGCCGGCTTCATACCGCTGGAGCGCGGCTATTGATTGGCAATAGAAATAGTCCTGAACTCCATGATAAGTGCATCGCCGAAATTGACGATCACTTCAACCTAGACGAAACCGGCGATTTCTGCATAAACCTGGAATTAGACGTGCAAAGCAGCTTTTCTATCTTCCTGCAGAAAGGCAGCAACGCTCCTCGTCACATTAGCGGCTCACCGTTCTCTATGGAGAGATTGGTGCAAGCAGAGGGCCTGGAAGCTTACTTTGGCCGAGCAGACCACCGAAAGCGCAATTGGGCCATTGATGAGTGTGAAATGCCACAGGCAAAACGTAGACGGTGATACTAGTTTCAATTGAATCGTACATTTGCCGATAGAGATAGTTGAGATAACTTTGATGACGCTACTCCATGACGTTAGCTTTCTGTCAATGATCACATAATGTCACGTACATATTTATCTAGCGAAATACATAACTAGTGAGCCAAAAATATACAATGAGAGTGCAAGTTACTAATTACGACCGAGTTTACAGCAAGGCGCTGTGTTTTATCACCTGCTCTTGGCCCACTGAGTTTCACGCTGGATGGGGGCGTACTAACGTCCATCCCTGTGGGTCGAACATCCCTCCGCAACGAACCACCAACATTGCCCAAGCACCTTACGCCCAAGCCGCAGAGGCTCTTAGACATAAATACAAATTTTTATGCTTGCTAGATCTACCTCTATCGATCGCAACCCTTAAATAGTAAAATTACAGTGATCTAAGGGGCATACGTGAGTCTTTCGTGTTAAGCGTGGGAAGGTGCAACGCCAAAACACCCCTGTCCTACCTCTTACACAAGCTCTACTTACCTATTCGGAGATTATATATAACTTGGAGTAAGCTAAAGAATCTTAAGCTATACTGTAAAGATATGCAGCCTCTGTTCAGATGCGCTCCGAGTTTTTCCGGCTCGATGTGCCAGTCCTTCGCATTAGCGAAAAGATTTAAAACGCTGGCACAGCTGGATTGCGAACGCCTAGCGGCCTACGATGTACACCTGCGCTATACCAAAAGGGCTGAAGCTGTGGCGCAGAGTTCTAGAAGCTTCTATTGGGTGCTGCGTGTTGCCGGCTATTCTTAGAAGCAGACCGGTGGTGGGCTCGGTTGGCTTCTCACTCTAGGTATCCCTCAGTCACCACAACCACGAACATGGACCCGGCCAGCCAGGCGCTCGCCCAACGTCTGCCTGAGGGTGTGCGTGATACATGTGCTGCTCGATCAAAGCACGGCAATGTCCCTATTTCAACTCTTATCCACCGTAGGCTTGGACGACGCTCACGAGCAGAGCAGGCTCAGAGTCAGCAGTAATTAATACTATCATTGAGGTGATAGGCCCGTGCGGAGCACGGGCAATTTCATTAAAATTCTGCTACAGCAGCTGTTGGGCCCAAGTAGCTATAGTAAAAGAATAACTATATTTGTCCAAAGTATTGTTTACTTGAAGAAAGCTCTCGTAGGCAAATAGATTAAGTAGCAATTAGATTGCTACTCTACAGCTTGCTATTCCTACGGCTTGTTAAGCTAGAAGCACAGAGTAAAGAATAGAGGATAAATAGCAAAGGGTAAAGAGCGATGACTGGTGATACAACAACCAGTAAAGAGCAACATGTAAAGAACAAGGAGTGACGTAAGGGCGTTAGGATAGAAGGTGACGTATGTAATAGCTTAGTTATCCTTCTAGGCCTAAGACCTTATAAAAACTTAGCTATCTGTAAGTAGGTTCTCTCTTATAATAAGTTCCTAACCATCAACCCAGTTTAGCAATGCGTTTGTAGCATCGTTGACTGTATTGCGAATAAAACATGCCTGGATCGTTTCTCCAGTATGACCTGCTCCCTTCCAATACAATCCATTTACTCCACGGATGTCTTCAATCCTTTCAGTTCTTTTGTTACTTTGAAGCCAAGCTTCAGAGACCCATTTTCGCGGCGCATGTGAACTAGGATTGCCACCGTAAAATTGAACACTAATCGTAAGATCGTCCTCCTCATTAATTACAGTCAATCCAGGACCACAGTGGTTCCCATCAGTTGATGAGGAATCTGTTGACCATTCAAACTGATGTCTTTGAGCATCCTTCTCTACGCAGGATACTTCACTTGACGTTTGCCCAAGAAAGTTCCTATAAGAGACCTGCTGACAAACTTCATCGTCCACGCATTTTTCCTGATGTGTAATAACAGCATTGTTGTTCGTAGGAATTACTGTTTGGCATTTCGCAGTGTAATCGATGTCGTTCTCACAAACTGCCGATAGAAGTTTTGTCTGGTAGGTATAACGTCGATTTCGGGTGCGTGGATCAGCGATAGTTCGGGTATCGGCTGCACAGGCCTCTTGACCAAGGTTTCTCCGTACATTAGGAAATGCTCGAGCAGTAATCTTGGTGTTTGGGGTCGTATTGGGATTAAGCACATCAACTCCCGTCATCGACCAATCGACAGCTACCTCGGCGAAGGATACCGAGGTTATCGAAAGAAGTAGGTAAAAAAGATTCATTTTTATTGTATGGTATAGTGAGTGTAAACGTATGAGTATTGATTGCTCTGTTAAGATTAAAAGGTATAAAACTTTTAGTAATTCTAGACAGAACGTTGAGTGTGATATATATGTTCGAGCAGCGCTCAGACAGCGCGCTCAGATACTTCGGCATAACCTTTTAAAAGTATATTTATCGTCTGACAGTAATCTCGGCGCTTCAGTATAACTCTTCTTAGCGCAACCCTAGCTCTTGAGCCAGGGAGTTGTTTGATTAGTCTTCCCGCTACTACGTAGTGCTGATATTTTATAATAAAGATTGCTTATTCTGGTAGGCTAGCTCGCTTACTCTGGGTTTTCCGGTTTTCCCAATCGACTAAGAGCCAGGATATACCCTGATTGAGTTCGGTGCTGACTTATCTAACATCCATCACAGAGGGACAAACCTTCGCGGAGAAGTAACACTGACTAGAAAGAAAACCCTAAATAATTATTGGCCGGAGGACGGCCGGTATAAGCACAGTGCTGGGGAATCATTTCTTAATAGAGTGACGGTATCGGCGTCTTTAGGTAGCGTAAACGGCGGCGGTCAAGGTCGTGCTGCAACAGCGAGACCGAGCGTCTGGCTGTAGAGGCTTCTAGAAAGCTACAGGCATACGCCACAGCTATTCTTAGCAGATGACTACTATAGGTATAGCGTTGAATTCGTTACAATAGCGTATGGCGATATCTAAGCACGCTACTATAGGCTGTCTGCATGCCAAGTGCTACTAATAGCGCACGTCCTAGAGAATGCGTTTTAAAGATCTTGCCGTCTAACGTCCTGTTATAAGTAATAATAAGGATTCTTCTCTTAATAAGTGACGAGATGGCTAAAGAGTTATAGAATTTAACGGAAAGAGTAAACAATCAATTCTATTGTAACGGCGCAGGCAAGACTACTCGGATCAGTATCGGCAGTAGAGTCACTCAGAGGCATATGGGAGTGCGTGGGACATCAAACGAGCCTTGATTCAAATAGACACCTATAGGCCTTGTACGAAAGGATATCAAAAATCTACCTAACAAGCTATCATAGAGGTTGGGTTTATATAGTCGTTTTTCCACTAGGCTGAATTGTGCCCTAGTTCGGATCCTGTTCGGATATGTGTAGCTACAGCCGCTGAGCCGTTACAGGAACCCTGACAATGACCAATACTTCTGCCGCTATTTCCAGGGCCGCCAGACGCATCTAAAACCCCTAGGGGCTGTCAACCAGATTTCCGTCGATGTCAACTGGCTAACACAGGAATACTTCCTGCCGATTGATCAACCATGGAAAGATCTCTAGGTAAAGGAGGAAAGAGTTACGGTAGAAGAAGCCAATCAGGCACTCGGCCTCTGTTGATACGAACCCAATAGTGTCCTTTTTTTTCTTTTCTTTTTACCATGCCCTCGGCTAGACTGCTTGTATAATTTGTATACTTTTTGAGCAGAAATTCGTAGCAATTCGCGGTAATTCGCAGTTATTAGCCGTATTTGTTAGTAAATTATAGTGACTTGCAGTGAGCAGCCACACACCAACTTTTAAGCAGAAATTTTTCATCGAAACTCGTCAATTTTCTATCGGATATAGGGGTAACACGTCGTGAGAAATCGATTAACGCCACCTCTAACGTGTGCAGCCCTCTCGTTGAGGTGCTAGAGGGGGTATTATCG